GATTTGGGGGTGCTGAGCCCCCCCCTGGCGCCCTGCAGGCAGTGTCAGGGCGAGGCTCTGGGCACGCTGCGGGGGCTACAGCCATGGCTGGGCCCCAGCCCGCTGGGTGCAGCCCCCTCCCCAGGCCAGCCTGAGGGAGCCATGCCAGCACTGCACCCCACAGCGAGGGGCTGAGGAGCATGGGGAGCTCTGGGGCGTGCGGCTGCTGGGGCCGGCGGCGTGCTCATCATGACCTCATCGGATTTTCCATCAGCGCAGGGAGGGCAGCTGTTCCCAGCACCGTGGGAATGGGGGGGGGCTGGACCCAGAAACCCCAATGCAGCGGGGCTCTGCCTGCAGCAGAGCGATCGATGAATGCTCTGCTTGTTGTATAAGCCCATCGACTCGGGCTGGCATGGCAACCAGGAGCCCTCTGCGTCGCTGCCCGCACCAGCAGCGCCAGCGGAGCACGGCCGCAGGCCCTGAACACCCGCGGTTGCCCCTTCCTCACCAAGCCCCCTGCTTCAGGCTGGCCCCATGGTGGGGAGCAGAACCCTGGGCCTGGCTGGACCCAGTGCCAGGCTGTCCCAGAGCCCCAGGATGCTCATCCGCTCTGGGCAATGCTGTGCTGGGACCCCTGTCCTCCCCGACGGGACCCACAGGGCCATGGCCCTGCCAGGCAAAAGGGCTTTGGGCACCCTGGGAGCAGGTCATGGAGCGGAGCTTGCCGGGTCCCTTGTGTGCCATGGAAATAAGGGGCTGTGGGGCTGCTGCAGCCCCCAGGGAGGCTCAGCCACACAGGCGTGCGAGCGGGGCTGTTCTCCTTCCCTGTCCCAGGGTGTCCCCTGTGTTTGTGTGTTCACTGGGACACGTTCCTGTGCCGTGTGCGCTCCTGTCCCCAGCCACCCCCCGGGGCTGCACAGGTCCCAGAGCCACGGCTCGGCGGCGCAGCATTCCCCGGCAGGGAGTCAGCCAGCGGGCGAGGCTGCTGGGAGTTTCGGGGAAGCCTCTGCTCTGGCTGAGCCAGGTGAGCAGCCGGCGGGTGGCATGGCCAGGGGCCACGGGAAGGCGACGACGGCTCAGCCACGGCATGGGGCTCTGGGGTGTTGTTTGGGGCATACGGCCAACCCTGCGGTGGCACAGAGCGGGGTCGCCCTGTCTGCCGAGGAGGAGCCCTCCTGCCCACTCCCCATACCCTGAGTCAGAGGAACACGCTTCCAGAGGAGAGGGCTGGGATTTCAGGAAACCTGTTTGCCCGGTAGGCGAGGGAGGATGGGTGGCAGGGGATCTCCTGGCCCCGTGGTGACATCATCCCAAAAACAGGCATCTCTGATGGGCACTGCCTGCAGAAAACTGAATCAGTTCAACACATCACCATGAGCCCAGAGACGGGTGCTTTGCCGGATGCCCGGACCTGGCCGGCTGCACAGTGAACGGGGACGTGTCCCTGGCTCCTGCTGCCCCTGCAGAGCCCTAAGCCGTATTTCCCACCCCGGCGGTGGCTGCTGCTGCCCCCGTGCCCCCCACCCTTGGACGTGCTGCTGCAACCCGTACCTAGGGTATGTTTGTTTTGGGATGCTGTGTGGGGCAGGGT